TTTTGCAGAGAGAACATCATTCACACTATTAAGCTGCGTTACACTTTGCAGTTTACAGAGTTGCATGGCTTATATGTAAGTTTTATACAACATTAATGTGAATAGAAACTTTTCTACTTAAAATTAAGATGTATTTCCTCTCTTTTTTGAGTCGTGCATGACTTTTAGCGACATTCTAATCATTTGCTGAATGGACATTTACACACAGTCACCTGGAGGCTTAAATTTGGGTTTGCTGTCTGGGTGCAGGAGTTCATAAACATTAACAGAGTCATATGACTGCCAGTGTCCCCGTCTGTTACATAATAACTCAGATGAAGCTGAAGCTGTATACTTGGATGTTTGATGATTTTAGATTTTAATCATTTTAGGTTTTAATGATGAGCTGAATAATTGGATTTGATTTTGTCTGTTGTGTTTGGTTGAAGAGAGAAACATTAGTAATGATGCAATTTTAACAGTGGTGGGAAGTAACTAAGTATATTTACTTAAGTACTATAGTTGAGTTGTATTCTGTGATACTTGTACTTTAGCATTTCTGCTTTCTGCTCCTTTATTTTTCTGCTCCTTTTACATTTAAGAAGAAAACATTGTACGATCTGCTCAACTGCATTTTTCTGACAGCTTTAGGTACTTTTGAGATAAAGATTTTGCTCAATGGATAAAATAACCAGCTTTTAAAATACAAAATATTGCTATAAACCACTGGTTTCAAACCTTTTTTGAAGTTTAAAAAAAAAACAGCGTACTGTTGAAGTCACATTTCAGATGTCTATGAGTTGCTAACAGCTCCACCAAATCGTAATTTTTCCCTCTAAACTCATCACATAATTCAATTTCCATAATCATTCAAAGATTTAAAAAGAAGACCAAACTGCCTCTTTACTTATCTCTTAAACCTTTATATTTATCTGCTATAACTGCATATAAACTGTATGTAAAGCAGTTCAAACTAACTCAACCTGCAGCAGCTTCATTAACCCTGATGATCACTGTTAATTATCTAATGAAATAATAATAATAATCAGGCAGAGTAACCAAGAGAGGACTTTTACTTTCATACTTTAAGTATTTCTTGCTGCCAATACCTACATATTTTCACTTATGTAGGATTTTTTTTGTAGGATTTTTACTTGTAATGGGGTATTTTGACAGTGCTGCCACTTTTACTGAAGTTCAGGATGTAAATACTTCTTCCACGCTTGACTTTTAGTTCCACAAATCATTGTTCTTTATTGCAGCCGTTGTTAGAGGGACTGTGATGGAGAAATTTGGCCTGAGGAGGACTCAATCCCTGAAGAGTCTTTCTGATGTTCAGGAAAAGTCCTGGTTCCGGCCGGCTTCGACCCGCTGGGACAGAAGATCTGTCGCTGAACTGGTGCAACAGTAAGTTTTACACAACACATAGGTCACGTACGTATATAAAGTTTATATTGTGCACATTTATGGTTTGAGCGTCCTTCGTCTTTTCCTGCCACATTTACACTCTTGTCACTACAAACCAGCTGGTCACAGGAGCCATTTCTAACTAATCTGTCTATAAATGTGTTCCAACAGTTACCAAAGCTGTGCGGACCTGAGGAGTTATGAAAAAGCCGAGCAAAAACATGAGGTAGTACAACTGTTTTACCAAATTAATCTGAAAAAGGATGAATAAATCTGAAAAAAAATCAACCGCTCTCCTCAGCTGCCAGAGAGCTGTGTGGACGGCCGGTGGAGGGGGACGGACAGCAGGGACAACGTGGCCTCCTGGGGGTCGAGAAGAAGCTCTAACCTGTCCAGGAGCCGCTCCATGGAATTCCTCCCTCAGCGGGAGACCTCCAGCACCAGAGCTCTGTGTGCCCTGTTTGAGTCCAAGGCCTCCCTGCAGCAGAGCAGCTCTCAGCTCCAGTCCGACAACACGGGGAGAGACTGCCCTCTGCAGGACGGGAGAGGTCACAACTCTCCTCTGAAGGACACTCAGGTGTGTGAGTCACTGTGCCGACACTACCACTGCTTTACATACAAGTAACATGTTGTGATAGCTCCAAAAACAAGATTCATTTCACATAAATCATTCTTACTTTGCAGAACATTATCAGTCACACCACTTATCACATTGCTCTTGTGTTGCTCCTCAGCGTTTCACATAACTGCCAGTAAACAATATGATGTTAAACCTTACATTTGTCAACATATCTGCAGAAATCTCTCCCCTGAAAAGGAGGACATAACCATAGCTTTGTTTAATGCTCCTTAACATACAAACAAAGTTAACTCAGAGAGCATGTCTGTGAAGACTCTCAGTCATCCAGGTCATGCTTATTCTTGTAGTTTAATCGTAGCAACTGGACTTGCTTGAGTTCCTTGAAGACGTTTCACCTCTCATCCAAGACGCTTCATCAGTTCTGACTGACTAGTTGGGAGATCCAGATACTGATATCCTTATGGAGCAATTAACACCTGAGTTTCGGTTCCAACTCGGGGTTTGTTGCTCCTCCCCTTCATTACTTGGCAAAGTCCTGTGAGTTTCTTATGTGATGAGAAACCAGCAGAGCTAAAATAGAGGCGAGGTGTTTTGCAATCTTTAGGTGACAGGGTTAATGCTGCTGATGATGGGTCTAAGTGGGTATCTTTGGGAGTCCATAAATGCAACGAATGGCTTCCCCTGGGTACAAGCGGTAAACGAGGGGGAGGAGCAACAAACCCCCGACTGAATCCAAGACTCAGGTGTTAGTGGCTCCATAAGGATGTAAGCATCTGGAACTCCCAACTAGTCAGTCAGAACTGATGAAGCCTCTTGGATGAGAGGTGAAGCGTCTTCAAGAAACTCCAGCAAGTCCAGTTGCTACCATTAATCTATGAGAATAACTCAAAGAGGAGCTCACAGAGAACTCTCAGGGTGAGAAGAAGGATTAGTTGAATCAGTGTGGCACTAACAGTAGGCTGTACTACAAAATAGTGGTGACTGCAAATGATTAGTAGCTGTAATTTGATCTCATTTGGGAATGTGTTACAGACAAATGTAATGTGATTACAGTAAAACACATGTTGTGGCAAAACAGATAAACTTTAATAAAGAAACTTGCTGGGTGGTAAACAGTTGGACAAACAAAAGGTGGCTGGAGAAGAAAGAAATAAAAAAAGTCCATAAGTGAAGAACTAATCCAACAAAAACTATATAATCCAGAAAACACAAAGACACGAGGGGCTGGGAGGCAAGTGAACAGAGAAACAGGATAAAAAAAAAAACTAAGATCACCAGAACTGGAATGCAAGGAGAACCAGAAAGGCAACAGGAAGGTTGACGCCAACAGGAGGCACAGAGAAAAGGAAACCGCAGTAGAAGGAATCTAACAAACCCTAAAAACTGCTACAACACTGGTCATCCAGATGCTTGCAAACATTTAGTCACCATGAGTCTGCCGCAGAGTCCAAAGTGTGTTCTGGCACTTGGCTTGACGTGGTGGTTCTGACACCTGACGAGGTTAACGGTTCATTTGACAACGTACAGAACAGCAGCAGCAGACAAGAACACAACACTCAAACTATCACCTGATAAAACACACACACACACACACACACACACACACAACTTGACTGAACTATTTTACATTCTTATACGGCTTATTTGCTTGAATTTGTTCTCATTTTTTGTTCTATTTCATATTTGCACTTTGTAACTATGCTTTTGAAAGATTCTACACAAATGATATTATTATTATTGTTGTTGTTGTTAAAAATCTGCCTACTAGTACATCAAACACTCACTAATAGATCTTATTTTCTCTGTCAGGTACAGACAAGAAAGTAGTATCAAATATCTCATGCATCTCATTTAAATAAATCAAAGCATCTTCCAAAATGTCAAACTATTTGTCCGTGCTCTCTTTAGTTTAACTTACTCAGTGAAATGGGACACAGTGTACTGCGACACTAGAATCATCAAAAACGTTGCTGTAACCCTCCTCAGTGACTCTATATGTTGCTGATTCACAGAGATCCACCCAGACGGATGGAGGAAAGCCAATGAATGGACTCCCGGAGCGTTACGACAGAGCGTCCAGGCGCACACACGGTAAGCAGACGCATTTAATTTCATGTTTATAGTCGCTGACGTCCAAGATGGCAGATGGGATCAGTGCCAGGGTTCCTTCAGAGTCAAGAGGCGCATTTCACAATGAGCTGTCCTCACTTGAAGTATTGAACTAATGAAATCTGAATACAGGCACATGCCACAAATCCAGCACATCAGATGAGTCTAAATTAAGTTTCCACGGAGCAAACATGTCGGGATCAAGGCCTCTGGTGCTTCAAGCGTCGCCATGTAGATCCTGACAGAGTTTGGGAAGCAGTAACTCATGGTGCTGTTTGGTGGTGGGAGGCAAAAAAGCTAAATAAAGACAAGGATGTAGTGGTGTAAATGCATAACTATGTGTTCGGCACACATGCTCAAGATAGGAGTGAGGCCGGCTTTGACCGTGACGCAGACCTTGGCCCTGTGAGGTGAGCCGTCTCCGAGTCCAAGAACTGATATTGCTTCAGCGGAGTGACGTTTTTATTTTCTGGTGTGAGTAAGAGAAGAACAGAAATGTGAGAGCATAGTATCCAAAATATTTTAAAATTTTCAGTTATAAAATCGATTTGTGGTCAAATAGAAGAATTGATGTGACATACTAATATGAAGCAGTATCTATAGGAGTGTTATTAGAGCACAACGTTACCAAAATAGGACCTTCCCGTGTGTGTTTTTTTTATTATGCTGCCGACAGTACTCCCATTGACACACATACTATTGGTCCCACCCAGCGCCCGTTATAGTGGGTGACAATGTAGCTATGGGAATGGGAGGTGGAGGGGAGCCCCAGTCCTCCAGTGACTGACAGAGGTGTTTGACTCAGTCGAGTAGCGGCAGTCAGCGTCCCAAAATAGCCTAAAGTCTTCCACTGGGACCGCGGCTCCCTGATAAAAATCAGCTGTCACCAAGGCCACAGGACTAGAGAGTCACAGTAAGAGAGGAGACGAGCTGCAGCTCACATCACAGAGGCCTCCAGAGTCCAGCACAGCAGAGACACACAGGGAAGTGGCAGGGAGAGCAACGCTGGATGCTACTTTAGTAAGTGGATGTCAACTTTATTCACTGATGAGGATGTGTGGCCGATGTGGAATTACAATCCTGCTGTGTAGTAATGAAGCTGTTTTATAATACAGTACTTAATTTCTGGCTTGATGTGATTCTAATATGTGAAAAAAAAAGCAAAATGGATTTACTTTATATCATCCAAACAGGATTCAAAACATTAAGTTTTACATGTTGTATCATGCTGTTTGTCGCCTTTATTTAAAGAGATGAATGTATGCTGTTGAGTTTTTGATTGCCGACTTTCCCCTGAAGTGTGTCGATCCATTTGGCTTCTATCTCTTTATGAGCTATAAAGGTCACAATCTGAAGTGTCGTGACTATTTTGTTGGAATCTTCATTAAGTCTTAAGCGGATATCGATTTTCAGTCCCCTTATCCTTAGAAATGTCTGGAATGGGAGGTCAGAGATCGCCATCAATCAGATGCTCAGATGGTTTCCTTCTTTCTGTCATCAGTGCTATGACGATTAACTATCAGAATCAGTACATCTGTCATAACAACGAATAGGAAAATCAACTTTTTTTTTATCTGCTGTAACGCTCATTGCTGTTTGGGGGGTCTGAGGCCCTCTAGTATGAACGCTCTGCTGGAATGCTGGTTTTCATTACAGTCTGTGAATGTGGCTACAATCACCAACAGCTGAAGGTGCTGAAGGTGGTGGTGGTGGTGGTGGTGAAGAACAAATACCAACTGCATTTCACCGTCATTTGTACAGCTGCCAGCGGCCAAAAACGCCCTCCCATTACCGTGCCGCTAATAGCTCCTTTTTCATTCCTGGAGAATGAAGCCAGATCAAAGACACGGCAGCAGAAGCTACTTTGACGCTGTGGGAATCACCGAAAGAGATACCCGAAGTCAATGAAAAGTCCCTTTTACAGATATATCAGTATTTCACCAGCTCGTCATACGAGTGTGAGCATACAGGTGATGACAAGTGACCTCTGGGTTCAGTGGGTGAGGACTTCAGCGGGACACGCATGGCGCTGGCTTGCTTCATTCTGTCTGCTCACCCATCTATGAAAATGCTTTAAGTCCAGACTCGTGAGAGGCGCCAGCTCGCTGGTCCGTCCTTTTGTCCCGCGAGGGCTTAGTGCGTGAAAAGAGGAGGTGTGTTTAAATCTGGCCATTAGTTACAGCTGGATGGCCTGTGCAGCAAACTGGGCTGTTGACCTCTGAACATATTGTCCACCCTGCTGTTGTTGTTGAAATATTTCCCTGAATTTATCATATGCAATTTTACCTACATTAACAACTATTATTACCTGACAAACTGAGGGCATTTGTTTAAATTGGTCCAAAAAAAAACCCCAAACTGTAATATTGCCGGAAAAAAAAACAACGTCTGGTGAAATAACGCAGCGGAGATCATTTCCATGTTTTTTAAAGGGTCAGGCAGTCGCATTCCTCTGGTCAGGTGTTGATGGTTTGATGGTGGACAGCTCATGCAAACAATGTGCAAACAATCTGTGACACTCCAGCTGAGCTAGCAGTTGCTGTTTTTTTTTTTTTTTTTCTTGGGCGTCATGGTCGGTTCGTGGCATGCGGTTTGGTGACAGGCTGTGCGGGCCTGTTCGTCTTGTCCTGTCTTATCCGGATCAAAGCCTAAATTTATCGGTTTGTTTGTTTCTCCTCAGTAAAATGTATTAAATGTAGTTTCACGCCTTGATGTGAATGAAATGGGTTCCACAGGAAACCGCAGCAGTGATTAGAAAGATTCCATCTTCACTATAAATACACACACTATAAGCACAACTAAAAATACAGACACAGTGTTATCATTAAACTCGTTGCTGACACGAGACACACTCTGCCGTGCTTATCTCAGACCTACTTTTAAATGTGCCAACAGGTTTTAACTCGTAAAAGTGAACCCATCCCAACACTGTTCGTCCTCGTCTGCAGATTTTATACAGATATGGAACCATTTTGATTGATTTTTTTTTTATTTTCTGTTGCAGATGACAAATATAGTCCATCACTGACCAAGGGGGGCTCCCCAACGAGACCAGCCAGAGACAGGACATCCACGTCCTCCTCAGTCAGAGACAGATCAGCTCTCTATCTGTCCAGAGCAGCAGCTATCGACTCCACAGGAGGCTCAACACAGCCAGTGAGTTCCTGAAATGCTTCTCATTCCTCCCTCACTCTGAGGTCAAGCGCTTCAATAGTGAACCACCACTGTGCTCTTTCACAATAGCAGCAAATGTACAATAAATCTCTTGCATGCCTTAAATACGTGCAACACAATGCCAATATTTACAGAAAGCAATGTTGCCTCTGATCCAAACTGACTGAAATCAACCCTTTTCTATTGTTTAACAGGAATTCGTTGGTACACCAGTGACAAGAGCGAAAAACAGTAAGGTACTGTAAAGACCATTTGGCTCCATTTACAGCAGAATGTGGTTTCGTCTTGTTGTGTGCTGTGTAATTCAGTCTTTGCTTGCATAACCAACGACACACTAAAACCTCAAAAGTTAAGAAACTTTAGACAGAAGAAACTCAGTACAGCCACAAACAATCCAGTTAGCAGTCTTTAATTTTAGGTTCAAGATTCCTATATAGACAGGCAGCAGCATTCTCATAAATAGTGAGGTACAGTGTAATAAAGAGAACAGGAGCAGTGATGTTGCTGTGACAGTTTCTCAGACTACTGTTGTTACTGTTGTAAAACCTTAAAGTGTCCGTGAATTTAATGAGCAAATGTAATAATATGTCAACGTTGTGTTAACCTTTGTTTTTACTGCCCCTGTGTGGCCAGAAAATGAGTTAAAGCTGAGATAGGCAATATTTTTATGGTGTCATTGGGCATAAATTTCACATTAACCTTTCAGCATGTTGTAATTTAAGTAGTCTGAGAGAGAGCAGCCTCATCCTGACTCTGTATTCGGGTTATAGGGATAAAATGTGAAGGTACAATGGGATAACCAGACGTTTTATTCATGTTTGAAAAATACTTCACTCATCGCTGGTTTGAGAGGTGGAGGACAAAGAGTGGAGGGCGAAGAGCTGCAGAAGGAGGGTTGTATTTAGGAAATTGTGGTCTTTTTCTTTTACGTTTTCAAGATTTCTGCCTGATTTCTGCCTACTGAAGCTTCAATGTGGGCTTGAATTATAGTCAAAAATCAACATTGTGTCCTACTGGTGTCATTTTTCAAGATAAAAGCCAAAACAAAAGCACGTTTCCCAATCAAGTGCTTCGATCTGCACTCTATGTATTCAACAATTCATATTTCCAGGCGTTTCTGTTGAAAGAAAATATGCCAAAATATAATCATAACAGCGACTAGCTGTACTCACAGTGCCGAGAACGTGTCTGCGTGACGTCTGCCTACTAACAGCTGTGCAGTGTTTTGCTAACTCTGGTGTGACAGAAGATGGTTTGCTGTGAAACACATCAAGCGCTCACAGAGGAAGGTAAAGTATAGCTTCTCTTGTTAAATGCATGCCATTCTAATATTTGCATGTATCTTTTTTACTAATGTGTTATTGATGACTAGATCCTGATAATGTTACTTCTGTCTGCTTTTTTTTTCCCAAGATGGCTGACGCCACCAGAAAAATCACAGTTTCACAGTCACCTCATGATGAAGATGACCTGCCTCTCCCCCCACCTCCTCCTGTACCACCAAGACCCCTTGACTATGAAGGGCCCTTAGCTCAAAGTAGCCTCCCTCTGCCTCCACCTAAAGAAACCTTCTCCATGTTCTATCAGCAACGGCAGAAGAGTGAGCTGAAAAGGCTTTTCAAACACATCCACCCAGACCTCCGGGCGAATCTCGATGATGCAGTGGACGATGAGATACTGAAAGCAGTGCAGTCAGAAAACACTCAAGCAGGAGACGCAGCATATCAGGGGGAAGTGCAGTCCATGAGGTGGATCTTTGAGAACTGGACTCTGGACAATATTGGAGATCCTCATGCAACTAAAAAGCTGCTGGATGAGGAGGCGTTACAAGGTGGTGACGTCCGAAGCACCTCCTCGATGTTTGAGCACATCGACAGCACCCAACAAATGTCTGCTCAAAGACAGACTTCTGTCAGAGGGGATGTGAGAACATCAACGTGGTTGTTTGAGACCCTGCCTTTAGATTCCTTAAATAAATCAAAAAGAGAAGAAGGCGAACTGGTTGAGGCAGTGCTGAAAGAACCCATCCACCCTGGAGATGTAAGAGGGACTCGGCTGCTTTTTGAGTCTAAAACACTGAGTGACTTGGGACGCTGCAACTCCATCGAAGACTACAGCTTTCTGAAACTGAGATCTGAGCTCCAGGAGCAGAAAGGAGATGTCCAGAAGACCGTGAAACTCTTCCAGACAGAACCTGGATGTGCCATCAGAGACAAAAGCGGTAATATCCATGAGATTAAATCCATCTGCAGAGAGGAGATCAACAGCAGCAGCATCAGCACAGCCCGGTGGCTTTTTGAAACCAAGCCTCTGGACCTGATTAATAAGGGAACTGATGGGGTGAAAATAATTCGGGGAATATCTCTGGAGGAGGGGCACACTGGTGGTGTTGACCGAAAGAGGTGGATGTTTGAAACGCAGTCGTTTGACACGATACAAGAGGTCGTGGGAGTGAACAAGTTTGAGGGAACTTCAGGGGAGGCTGATGTCGACAACAAAAGGAAGCTCTTTGAGACGCAACCACTGGCAAAACTAAAAGGAGACTCTGGAGAACAGTCTTTGGAAAAGGAGGAAATAATTGGAGGAGATGTCAAAACTTCTCTGTGGCTGTTTGAAACTCAGCCAGTGGAGGCTCTTAGTGACAGCTATGAAGTTGGGCGCCTGCAGAAAATTACCCTTTCAGCTGAAGAGCAAGGAGAAGTAAAAGGCAAAAAACAAATATTTGAGAGTTGCAGTATTCAAAAGAGCACCTCATTGAAAGAGCAAGAAATTGAAAAAGGTGATGTTAAAGGATTCAAACAACTTTTTGAGACAATTCCTTTGAGCAAAATTGCTCACTCTGATGAGGAGATTATTGAAAAGGAAAATGCCATTACAGCTGGAGATGTAAAAGGTAACAAAGCAATGTTTGAGACAACTCCTCTATACGCAATAAAGGACAGCTCTGGAAACCTCCATAAGGTCACAACAGTCAGCCGAGAAGAATTCATCAAAGGGAAAGTCAAAAACTATAAGTGGATGTTTGAGACCAAGCCTTTAGACCAGCTGGCAGAAGAAAAAGGAAATGTTGAAGTAATCAAAGGCATCACCAGACAGGAGGACACTGCGGGCGATGTCAAGATGGCAAAGTGGCTTTTTGAAACCCAGACAATTGATGGGATCCATTCAAAGTTCAATCAGACTGAGCAAAGCTCGTCATTGGAGGAGGAGCATCGCAAAGGTGACGTCAAGACCTGTAAATGGTTATTTGAGACACAACCAATGGATATTTTGTATGACAAATCTGAAAAGATGAAAGAAAAAGAAGCGATTGACAATACCAGTGTCAAGTCCATGACTTGGCTTTTTGAATCACAGCCTCTTGACAGCATCAAAGATGGCGATGAGTACAATCTGAAACTGTGCAGCACCACACAGGATTCTGTCAAATCAGAGGTTGGTGTTCAAACAGTCAAGCATCTTTTTGAAACAGAAACCTTGGATAAAATAAGTAAAGACGTAAATTCAGAACAAGATTTGAGATGTATCAGTCAGGTCAACTTTCAGTCAGGGGATGTCTCACGGGTCAAAGAACTCTTTGAATCCCAATCCCTTGATGAAATAGGATTAGAAATGATGGCAACCTCAGATGAGCAGAACCGAGATGAACAGATCGAACAAGGTTCTGTAAATAAATTTACTTGGATGTTCGAGAACTGTCCCATGAACTTGATCAATAAGGACAGCGAAGCTACAAATGAGCAAAGAGTTGGAGGTCTTGAGAGTGGTGATGTACAAAACAAAAAGTTTATTTTTGAAACGTCCTCACTGGACAAAATCCACGATGAACCGCTTGAGCAGCAGTCAGTCTGTGTGGAGCAGCCTGTGAGCAATGTCGATGTGAAGTCAAGCACGATGATGTTTGAGTCGCTGCCACTGTACGCCATCAGAGACAAAGAGGGCCAGTTTCACGAGGTGACAACTGTAAAGAAGGAAGAGGTGAAAAGTGGCGATGTAAGAGGAGCAAGATGGATGTTTGAAACAAAACCACTAGATGCCATCAAGGCAGAGAATGAAGTTTATGTGATCCGAGCTGTCACCCAAGAAGATGTTAAGAAAGGAGATGTCAAGTCAGCCAGATGGAAGTTTGAGACGCAACCTCTGGACTCCCTCACCAGCCGAGATGAGGCCTCTGTTACGGTCACTGAAGACTTTGGAAACGCCAATGTGCAGCTCAATAAACAGATATTTGAATCTGAGGAGTCAAGCAAGAAGTTTGTGAGAATGGTTAGCGTCACTGATGTCCAGCGTGGTGATGTTAGGACCTCCACATGGCTCTTTGAGAATCAGAGCATTGACCGTCTGAAAGGGGAACCTCAGGAGCAGAGTCCAGTAACAACAGTCCACAGGGAAGATAGCCAGAAGGGAGATGTGAAACGCTGCACCTGGCTCTTTGAATCACAGCCATTGGACAAGATCAAGGAGCCAGAAGATACCGCCGTGCAAGGCGCTGAAGAGATACCAAAAGCTGACGTCAAGTGCACCACCTGGCTCTTCGAAACCACACCACTGGACAAAATCACTGCCATGAGTGTTGCTGACACACTTTCCTATTTGCATCAAATGACTTTTATTCACTCAAGTGGCATCATTATAGAAGCAAATGAGAGCAGGAATGTCAACATGGCAAAATATCTGCTTGAAAGCAGTGAAGGTGTGCAGATTCAGAAAGAGGAGGTTGTCGGGGGTAACATCAGGAACATCATGCTGCAACTCTTGCTCAAACCAACCCTCAACCCGCAAGTTACTCTTCTGAGAGAAACTGAAAAAGGTAAAGTCAACACCACAGTAGTGGAGCTTCCAGTCTTCCAGTCCTCCACTACCATCAACATCGAGAGAGATCAAAGAATACAAAACATTGCCCGGATGATCGATGAGCTGCTTGTTCAAGATAAGAATTTCAAAAAGGGAATCTTAATGCAAGAGACTGCAGAAGGACAAGCACAGATGTCAGTTTATTCGCTGATCTGTAGTCATGAGGTGAAAACTGAGAGCCACCTCACAGAGAGAGGAGACGTAAAGTCTACGATTGGAAATCTGTTAGCTACTGCCAACAGTCAGAGGACTGCAGCATCGTGTAGAGTGGATGAAAATGAGAAGGGAAATGTTAATTTGTACAAAAGCTGCATTGAGAAAGGAGACCTTCATTACCTGAAGAGTCTTCATGCTGAGGCAGAAGATGAAGTTGATCACAGCTATTTGGCCAAAGAGCAGATTGAAACAGTTCATGGTGGTGTGAAGGAAGCAAAGAGAAGCCTCTGCCAGCAAAAGGAGCAGGCGGAACGAACCATTTCTGATGTTCTGCCAGGGGATGTGAAGAACACCAAGAAAGTTTTTTCATCAGAATGCTCTGTCAACATTGACAACTGTATGGCAAAGGAGGAAATAATCCCTGGAGATGTCTCATCAGCAAAGCAACAACTTGCAGTGAAGCAGCCTGTCTTGGTGGAAAAAGAGGAGATCGTGGCTGGAGACATCAAGGCAATGATGCAGTCATTAGAACGTGCAAAGCAGCAGAGCATGTGTGTGGAGCGAGAAATCATTACACCTGGAACTATCTACGATATGGACTTATCAGCTGAAGGTCCTGACATTGAAGGAAACCAAGCACAAAAAGAGGTCATTATATCCGGAGATGTGAAAGCAGCTAAAAAGTCTCTGGAAATGGCAAAGATGCAAAGCATGCATGTGGATCGGGAGGTTGTTGTTCCTGGAAAAATATACAACCTGAATGTGTCAGCGCACGAGGAAAGCTCTTCAACAGTGACACAGTCTACATGCTCATCCTCCTCCAGAAGCCAGCAAATCAGGACTTTTCCAAAGGTCAGTGATGCAAAGAAAAATGAGGAAAGCCATGTTTCCTTTGAAGCTTGTCAACAAAGTGCAGTTATAGTCAGTAATTGTGCCTCTGAATCACATCCACCTTTTGTGGGATGTGAGTTTAACGGTCATACAACTGAAGATGAGGCAGAAGAAGCTATCAGAGGTGATGTGAAGGCAGCCATTAGGTCTCTGCAGAGTGCAGCCACAGAGCAGAAGTTCCTAGATAAAGAGAATATTGTAAGAGGAAATGTGCAGTTGGCTCTGGAATCTCTTGAGAAGTCTAGCGTAAATGTATCCAAAGGAGACTATAAAGCTGCAATGATATACAGGAATTCAGGCAGAGCTTGTTCAGAGAGGAGCAAGACTGTTCACAAGCAGTGTGTTGTGGTGTCTGTGCCTCCATCTGACACAAAATTATCTCCTTCAATTTCAGTAACCTGTGAAGGACAGCCCACCATTACAACACAGAATCCAACTCCCAACCCTGTAGCAAATGGAAACTCTAAATCGCCCAGCTCTGAAAGTGGAACTCCACCCCCAGTCCGTCAAAAGACTGAGAAACCACAGGAGCAGAAGCCAGCTTTACCACCAAAGCCACAGTGGACAAAATCAGTAGTTGTGGAGGAACCAAAAACGTTGCCAAGTCCTGCTCACCCTATTAAAGACAGTATAAAAGGTGCAGTGATTCCTCCAAAAGTATTTCCTTCACACTCGATAGATAAGCAACAAGAAACTACAACACATGGCAAAATCTGTAAAGAGACCTTCCATGAAACATACCAACAAACATCTGTTGATGAAGCAGCGCAAGCCTCACATCAAAGCCACGAACATCTACCAGTAGCTCAGGAAAAAATAAAGACAACTGCACCACTCACAGGGAGCAAATCAGACTGCCAACTGATTACCAGCAATGAAGTGGAAATAGAGAGAAATGAGATAAAGAAAATAAATGCAGCTGAGGAGATACAGATGTGCATGAAGAGCTATGCAGAAGAGGGTAAACATGAAATGAACATGAGCTTGCGGGCAGCTCTGCAGAACTTTGAAAGAAAGGACAGTGAGACTTCAGACAAAAGAGCTTCGCTGTCCAAGAAAGTAAAAGTCACAAATGGTAATATGAATGACCCAAAACAAACACATGTCAAATCTCCCAAAAAGCAGCACAGCAAGACCGAAGTGCAAACGTCAGAGAGTAACACCTCAACTGATGCAAACGTCAATGAAAAGAAACCCAAACCGGAGGATAAAGTCGTTTTAAGAGAGAAGAAAGTAAGAGAGACGGAGGATGAAAGACGACAAAGACTTTCTGTCCACAAGGACGAGATCATGAAAGGAAATGTGAAGGCAGCAATGGAAATCTTTGAAAATTTAAGGAAGCGAGAGGAACTCAAAGGAATCCTGTCTCAGGTGCAAGAAATCGAGGGCGAGACCAGCAGCGTAGACGCCTGCTGCTTGAAGACGCTGTATGAGAATGTCCCTGCTTGGATGGCTCCACCGAGTCGAAATGCTAAGCAAAGCAAAACGGAGGAAAAGAAGGTTGAGGTAGAAACACAGGATGACGATCTTGAGAGCATCTCCTCAGTGGAGACCGCATTTGAAGATCTGGAAAAGGCAAGCAAGGAAATAATAAATCTAAAGGAACAGACTTTAGCAAAACTGCTTGAAATTGAAGAGACAATTAAAAAGGCTTTGTACTCCGTCTCCAATCTGAAATCTGAGGCGGACATCGTAGGGTTGTCGGGGCTGTTCGATGAGTCTTTGAAATCTGAGCAAAACCTTCAACCAGCCAACAACATCAGGAAGATCAGTATTGTGTCCAGCAAGGCCAAATCAGGCAAAACCAAAGAGACAAATGATGCAAATCTCCAAACAGATTTTGATTCAAGTGTTTCCAGAAAAGAAGGACCTAGACAAGGGCACAATAAGCCACTTATTAGACAGACTTCCTCCCCGTCTTCCCCATCATTCATCTCCATTCACTCAGCTGCCAGAAAGCCTATAGAGCAACCAAAGGCAACCATGTCAACCTTTAAACCAAAGACAGATGATGCAAACGGTGATCTGGTGTCTGCTGCGTCAGAGTCTTCAAAAAATGGTCCACAACGTAAAGTCAGCGTGCTTGAGGTGAAAACTGTTCCAGAGCAACCGGCAGGAATAATCGGCAAGAAGACCGTCAGCGAAACATACGAAGAGACCGACGGCTTTGGCAACGTTTTTGTTTCTTCCATGACTTCAACATTCGTCACCAAACAGTCTGACAGCAAAACATCTGCTCTGTTCGAAGTGGTTGGGAGTCCAACCAGATACGAAGTCATGACATCCCCATTAATGCGAAGATCTGGCCGCCCTTTTGAAGACAAAGTGCCGAGCAAGGCCAAGGAGGAGGGGACGGTATTTGTGACATTCAGCCAACCAAAGGAGAAGCACTAAGCAAGCCACTTATCAGTGTACTTTACTTTTAGGAAAGCAGTTATTCCATTTGTGTATTTATCCCATTATGTTTTAATGAAAGGGTTTTGTTAGTTATAAAACTGATCTTACGAAATAATGAAAATGTTAACTTTAAATTGCAAAACATTTGTCTTATAGATTTTATACTGTAACCACGCGATAAAGTGTTAAGTTCTTTTATGAAGGCTAAGCATATAGTTAACACTGTATGTTCTGTTGTGTAAATTGTCGAATAAAGTAAATTTTAAGAGACGTGTTGGTATAAAGGGATTTTCATTCTCTGCACTCACCCTATTTAAGCAAACCTGAAGTGAATTTAATAATGAAAATGACCATGGAGCAACTTTACCAACAACCGCTGTGGTAACCTGTAAGTGTGCTACAGGCTGCTTAACTCATAGTCACAGAATTTACTAAAATGTCACCTTTATACACTTATTTTGAAAATTATTCTAGCAAACCTTATGTTCCGTTTTCTATAAAGGGACAGATGGTAGCAGAAACAAGAATCCAATTACTTAAATACCTGATAGTTAAAAAGAGTTCTGGAGTTTCGAAATGGTTCTCAAAATAGAAAAAAACCTGAAGAAAAATAACTTCAGGTTTTTATCTGTAACACTTCTTGATATATTGTCGTCCAAACGTAGCCTCGATTTCTATGTGGAAAAAGAATGTGCTGAAAGCAAGTTTTAAGAAAATGTATCTTAGAAAGTACTTCTTATATAAATCTACATTTTCACTGATACCATAGTTAATGCTAAAGTTTCAAGCAAATCAGAAATGGTTGAGTAGAAGACGGACTTTGATGATTTGAAATGAAATAACCCCGTTTGCATCATGCAAGCAAAATTCTGAACACAAGACTGAAATAACATCCTGTCATGTCAGTGTCTTCAGTATAAACACATCAATTTGTCAAGCAGTCACTCGTCTGTTCAGGACATGGTTAGCACTGTTTAGCTAAACCACTGGAGGCATGTGAAGTAGTCTCCATCAACTTACCCTACAAAAAAAATCACATCTGTCTTATTTACAAGTCACATTTATAGTGTTAGTGAGCAAGCTGCTTACTCACGTATCCATAAATCACAAAGTTTTCGTCTACTTTCTGCCTTTGTAATCAGCTCCATGCACATTATGCACAGAGACAACATGAATATTTACATCTTATCCTGCAAGCAAATTGATGCAGTTCTTCACATTATTATCACAATAAACTATTCTTTAAAGGCTACATATGTGGCAAAAGGGCAAAAGGAAGAAGATGGGCATTACGACCGATGGCGCCACCTGGGGAACGGCACCCAAGGAAGTACTACCTGAAGAACCTTCAATATGGTGTAGAAAAACTACTAACAAGGCACATACGACTTGTTACTGACATAGGCTGTAGACGTGTTCTCAATGAATCAAATATTTCAACTAAAAAATGTTTTTTTTTCTTTTTACTGAAGTTAAAATGACTAAATACAACATCTAAAATCACAAGTATATTTTAGAATATTGACAATAATGAATCCAACACAACCAAGATTAAACAAGAGAAAGCAGCATCCAGGACGTTCCTGTTTATGCACTTCAATGATGCCTCAGTACAACATTGCAGCCTACTCAAGGAAATTTTTATAAAATTCCTCCTAAGAAGAGCATCAAATAAGCCACCCAGTTAGTTGAGCAACGAAGGAATCACCACTTACCTATAAAGTCAACACAATGGACTAAATAGTGGTGGTAAAACGGCAGCACGTGAATCACGTCTGTTGTGGGACTTTAACACAGGCTCAGTTGTAATGGTGAGCAGGGTCAGCCAACACATCAAGACAAAGAGCAGCATTTAACTCCAGCTGTGTAAGAACAAACCAACAGCCTGGCCATAAAAAAAAAAAAAAACAATGAACAGAGGCCTGCAGGTAAAGTCTGGCCCAGGTGAATAAATCAACCACATCAGAAGTGGATCCGCGTTCATTAAAGCCACACATACGAGATTCACCTGCACTCGGGGAGCATTTCTCACGACACGTGAAGGATAATAAATAAAGTTATATGCTACACAATTGTAATAAATGTCTGTAAAGAAATCACACTCTTACCTGAGACCAGGCAGCCATAAGGCTTTACAGACAGGGAGGCAAAACTTTCCAAACCGGAGCCCTCATCCACTCGTTGTACATGATCCAGTTGAAGGGTCACCCACAGTCAGGAGTGGATGTCATCTGTACCCTCTGACCTTGCCTTGACCACGGGCCTCACTGAGACCGACCACACACCTTCTCCTCGACCTACACGTCACTAACTTGATGGCTATTTCAAAAGTTCTCCTTTCCCTCCTCCCACTGTGCTCAGCACCTTGAACATGCAAATATCAAATAGATTTGAAATTAAAATCATGTGTGTCTCCAACACTGGCTTCAATGGCTCTTTAGTTATGCTTCACTGATGCTGTCCTTACTGGAGGGTTCAGCACTGTCACAAGTGTTTGGGTACGAACCTGACCGCTGACTGCTGGCTCATAGGGAATCCAAAGTAAACTTCAGATTGTTGGGTTCTCTGTTTAAAATCACTATATTAAGTGCTATGAGATAACATATACAGTCGTGACTCGATAATCCGACACTGAATGTAAAACCTTCTTTTATGTCGGACAACATCACATACAAGTCGCATTTAATTGGAAATGTGAACGAACTCGCCAAAAAAAAATCAGACTTCACAAAAAAATCTGACTTGAGCACTAAGTCCTGTAGTCTGAACGCAGCCAATCTGTGGGATTGTTCAGTCAGATAATACGCCGTTATCATTATTTGTGACATAAAATGTCATGTCGGAGTCAGAATCCAAGGCTGTCGCTATGTTAAGGCTTTTTTTTATGGATTTCATTAGTGTTTTCTAAAAACCTGTCGGATAGCAAGGTTTTCGGATTGTTAAGGGTCAGATTATCAAGTCAAGACTGTATTGTTATTTAGTGTATATAAGTGACTGAATTGAACTAAATTGAAAAGAATAAAAAGTTCTCAGTGGCCATAGCATCAGATTCAGAGTGGTTATCACAATGTTGATGCTTTGGTGTCTAAGAAATTAAAAACCCAACAGAAAGCTCTTGTAATGTCAAACATACAATATCATGTTACCTTAAAGTGAATTTGTTTTCATCGCCACAGTTCCTGCTGCCTGCCAAGGAGATGTGTTCTGCCTGTTTGACACCCGTCTATCCGATGGAAAAAATGGTGGCCAACAAGCTAATCCTGCACTCCAACTGTTTCTGCTGCAAACACTGTAGGAAGAAGCTCAGGTGAGATATTTTTTTAATATAATACAAATGTACTAACTTCAACGTACCAGGATTGAAAGATCGAACAGTCGCGTTCATATGTAAAATCATCTTCAGGTGGATTAAGTAAATGTGATTATTTCCACTTTCTAATGCACTGAAATCATTCACAGCATTTTTTTTTTAGCACAGAAAACAATTCGTATATAACAAATGACTCAATGTCAGATTTAATATTTTGATTTTGTATCATTTCATTGCAGCCTCACCAACTATTCATCTCTTTATGGAGAGTTCTACTGCATTTCTCACTACCAACAGCTCTTCAAAAGAAAAGGAAATTATGATGAGGGATTTGGCCACACGCAACATAAAAACCGGTGGCTTCAGAAGAATCAAGAAACAGATGAACCGGATGCCAAGTCTACTCCGAAAGAGACAAAAACCAAACGAAGCACCTGGCTTCACAAGAATAAAGAAATAGATGAACCAGATGCCAAGTCTACTCCGAAAGTGACAAAAACCAAACTAAGCACCTGGCTTCAGGAGAATAAAGGACCAGATGAACCAGATGCCAAGTCTATTCCTAAAATGACAAATACTAAACTAAACATTTCTGACAGCTCCAGAGAGGCTCCTGCTGATGCTATGAAATCAACTGCAGGAGAGCCGGGATATAAAAGTGGTGCTGAAGTTAAAGGGAAACTGAAAATGAGCTGGCCACCGGAAAAGAAGAGCACTGGGGTTAACCTGACAGAGCGAACAAGTGCATCAGCTCTGAAAAGTAAGATATCAGAGATCGGCAATACAGCTGCAGTTACTAGGAGCTTTTCTGAGTATGGGAAAACTGACAGGCTCAACCACAAAGGAGAGATCAGAGTTAAGGGAGTGAAGGAACAATCCCAATCAGCAGGTTTTCTCTCAGCCGAGAAGTTGCCTACAAAGAAAGTAAACCCTCCGAGTGAACCAACCAAAGCAGGCCATTTCCAAGTCACCAGCTCAGAAAAGGGTATTTCTGTCAAGAGTCAAAAAACACTTCAGTCAGGTGTTGCACCCACCTCAAAAACAAACAGTTTGACATCCAACAGGCTTGATCCGAATAAAGGTCGAAAATCCGTAAGGTTCGCTCCAGATGTTGACGTGACTCACAATGAGCCATCCTCTCAACCGAGTACAGGAGCCAAAAATAAAATGCTCTCAGATCCACCTGAGCAAAGCGAAATAACAAAAATTTGTGATAACGCTAACGTTGATCAGTTGACATCTGAGATCAGCAGAGAACATCGAGAAAGTGAGATCTACCTCGAAATCCCTGAATATAAACACCAAGAAGACACAACCAATAAATCAAACCACGAGAATGTTAAAGTGGAGAGCAGTCCAGAGATTCTACAGACCGAAATTACAACTCTGAACGAAGGGACGGTTGGCGGATCACTTGACACTCAAACTTTTAGTTCAACTCAAGACATTATGACACAGCAGGAGCCAGCTGAGAATCCGGATGTCCCTTCAAGAAACTCGGTCAATACATGCAAGTCAGAAAATCCAAGTCCTGCAGAACATGTGACTGCTGAGGAGGGCGTCAGTCTCGAAAAGAATGAAAACCAGCTTGAAAAAACTGATACAACCAGTGACCAAGAAAACAGTGGTCATCAGAAGAAGCCTCTTGCAAGAACAAATTCTCTAAAAGGTTCTGCTAACCAGGCTGACAAGACTAAAGCCAAACTGGGATCCTGGTCCAAAGGAAAGAGTCCTTTGTCAAAGCTCTTCACATCCAGTGGAAAGGACAAAACAAACAAGGCTGAACCGAAGGATGTCAAGAAACCTGAGGCTAAAACTAGCAGTGGACTCTTAGGGAGACTGTTTCAGACTTCTTCAGAGAAAGTTGAGGACGTCACGAAATCAGCTGCGCAAGATGAAAGAAGCAACAAAACACCCGCTGATGACAAGAACACAGGGAAGGAAAAAGACACTAAAGCGATGCAAAAAGATAAAGACGTGTCTAAAATCTCATCTCCAGATGTTCAGACAAATACAGAGGAGAAGTCACAGCCTTCTGAGCCTAGCACACTAGAGAGTAACTGCAGATCTACAGAATCATCCACCCTGTCCCAGATACCTGCTAGTAAACCAGATGATGACCCCACAGCTCCAGCACAAAATGATATAAACCCAACTGATGGTAAAGCATCAGATTTGCAGAGCAGTGAAGCGACAGATGTGTCTCTCCATGATCCTGGAACCATGATCCTGGAACAGCAGGGAGAAGAGCCTTCCTCTGCTGTGCAGGCAGTGGACACAGTGCACGAGGAATCAATCAGTGAGCAGACACCTGAGAAAAGCAGCAATGAGATTTTAAGTGATCCGTTTAATAATGATATTTTTGGAGAAAGTGTTAGTTCCGCCCTTGTTGACCCATTACCAGTTCAGATGAATACAGATGACTCTACCCAGAAGCTGCTCAATGCACCAGACGAAGGAGGAAGACAACTGGACAGCGAGGCCTTTTTTGACCTCCACCATGAACGTCCACAGGATTCCTCTATTGGTTTGGATCTGTCTGACACCCCTAGTGATGAACTTTCATCTTCTCTCAGTGACACAGCTTTGCCTACAGCTGCTGATACTGACATTTTCAGCCTCGTTGACTCTCAGCCAACATCAGCTGAGCATGAAGTGATTCTTGGAGTGACAGATCATCTTATTGTCCCTGAATTGG